AGCCAGCATGCTGGCTGGGGAATTCTGGGAGTTGAAGTCCACATCTTAAAGCTGTTGAGATTGAGAAACACTGCCTTAGAGCATATGAGTTCCCACCTTGGCATATTCAACTTGTCATATTGAATGATGCCTCATTCTACAAAGGAACACCACACTTCTGGTCTTAACTGTTAAATCCAGACTTTATTCAGCTTCAGATGAGCTTCCTTCCATGTTTAACAAAGCACAATACATATCTTGCCCACCTCACGTGATTCATACCAGGAGGACCAACACCGATGCTTGTCCCATGCTCGGCGCACTGATCTCACAGGGTTTCTCCCCCACGTGGATCCTTTTATGTCGATCGAGAGCTGTTTTTCGTGTGTAGCTTTTCCCACACTCGGCACACCGATAGGGTTTCTCTCCGGTGTGGATTCTCCGGTGTCTGATAAGGTTTGATTTCCAGCTGAAACGTTCCCCGCAAACTGGGCACTGACACGCCTGCTCTCCGGATGGGGCTCTGTGGGGTGTCCTTGGGAAAGTCCTCTGCCTGTGGCATTTGGCGCAGTCCAGTTCGCACTGGTGTGGCTTCTCACCTTGGTGGTTCCTCTTGTGTGTCAGAAGGTCAATTCGGTGAGAGAAGCGTTTCTCGCAATGGGGACACCTATATATCTTCTCTCCTATGTGGGCTCTCTCGTGGGTAACCAAGTCTAAGCTCTCACCAAAACACTTCCCACAATATGAGCATTTATAGATCCGTTCAACTTCTATTGGCGCTTTCAGATTCTCAGAACAATTAGCTCTTGGCTGGAGGTTTCTAGAGAGTTCAAAACTGACGTCTCTTCCTTGGAGGGTCCTTGCAGGTTCGTTTGTAGACACCTCTTCACAAAACAAGGCTAAGTCAGACTTACTCTCTGGCAAGCTGTCCGTCTCCTGCTTAATTTCAAGGCCCTCCTCAACGTTGGGGCCTTGGATGAGTTCGCCTAGGGCTCTTTCCAATAAAATCCCATGAGGATTTAACTCCTTGGGCCTTTCTAGCCAAAAACCATCCTCAGATTCCAGCGCTGAGTTACCTGTCCCTGGAACAAACCGAAAAATAGCAAGAGAGGACATGAAATAGTGACATAGCTTAATTTAAAATGGCTTTGCTTACATCAAGATGGTTCTATTTGGTTTATCCATTAACTAAAACTGGGGCAAAAGAGTGGGTCTGATCCACTTGAGCCTCTTACAATGGCTGTGTTGAGCTGATGTAGAATGAATTCTGCTGATGATCATGATTTCCTGGTTTTTAAATTAATTATGGACAGTTTTTATACGTTTGTATATGGGTCTTTAACTTGTTTTATTGGATTTTTTTACCCATTGAGAGCTGCCCAGAGTCACTTAGATGAGATAGGCAGACATACAAATT